GATTAATTTTTGAATTATTCACCTAATAATATACCCCTATTAATGGCTAGTGTTGCTAGTTAATACACTATGGCGAGAATGAAGGCAAATAATATCATCCTCCTAGGTACACAATGCAACGTGTACCTAGGAGGTGCATGTATTACAAAATTGGTAAAAGAAAGTGGAGTTTTTAGTCTGGAGTTATGATGCCACACGAGCATTTAATTCTCCAAATTTTATCCCTTTTTTTTCGCACATGTTTAATTTCAAACTGTTTTTTCCTATTCATGTTAGTTTTTCTATTATTTTATTTTATGAGAATTTGTTGATAACGATGGATTTTTTTTTTGGTAAAATTGAATATGGTTCATCATCGAGACTTATGAATATGGAGAATCGGTCAGAATAAAAAATTTCAACTGATTAGCAATGGAATACGGAGAATTAAGCGTGAAATTTGGAAGATTTTAATGGATAACGATGTTTGTTTGGATGAATAATATTATGCTTATCTATGAATAATGATAATATTGTGGATGAATAATGGTGTTCTTATAGTGACAATTGTTTTTTTTGGTGAAAAAGATAAATTTTATTTACGTAATCACCAAAGTGAGCATTATGTACACTTTTGCCTTGCTTCCACTGCCAGCTACCAACTTTCCTACTCTACTTTTAGCTAATAAGAGAAATACAACCACAGTTCCATCTTCTAGCTATTACAATAAATAAAGCTATGAAAACCATTGCTGCAACAGACTTTTTTCAGCCATGGAGTACTCACCCTTTGCCCTGCTTAAACATCTTGCTTGGATTTCGAACTGGATCATTCTGAGTATGTCTGATGGTATTCTTTCTTCTCCACCAAAGTACCTCTTGTTATGTTCTTCCCATATATGATAGAGGCATGCATTCACAGCTGTCAGAAACATCTTCCTTTTCAACTTTGCACCTTTCCAATATCTTAGGATCTGCTGTTTCCACCTGATATCAACAGTGGACATTTTCCTGCACCCAATCTAGTTACTAACTAGAGGCAGAAGAGCATTAGCAAAACTGCATTGAAAGAACAGATGTGATGTTGTTTCAGGACTCTGCTGGCACAACAAGCAGTTAATATCAGGAACCACCAAATGCATTTTCACCAATCTTTCTCTGGTCAGCAACCTATCTTTCCAGACTAACCACGCAATGAATGCATGTTTAGGGATGGTCATAACATTCCATATACATTTTGCATCATCCATTTTCTGAACATTCCCTGTAAACCATTGATAACCCGCTGCCACTGTGTACTTACCATGGGGATGAGATTTCCATATGTGATCATCAAAGGCACTACACACTTGATCTCTAATCTTCAACAGCTGCTTCCACTGCCAGTTGGAATCATTTTTTAAACTCCACATTCCATATAGTATTCTTCTTAATGTACACACCATTGCATCCAAGGAACCCAAAGAGCATCTTTTTTCAGGGCCAAATGCCATATCTGCTTTACTATGGCAGTCTTATTCCACCATTGAGCATCTTTAATCCCCAGACCACCTAAACCTTTACTCCTACACACCTCTTCCCCCTACCACCACTTCTGACCCCCCATAAGAACTCTCGACAGATTTTGTTCACCATAGCCGTTATACTTGGTGGCAATGACTGACCAACATCTGCTTTGCAAATGACTTAATAATATTTTGTAAGGCAGATGTTGTTTCAGTTCAGAAAATTATGCTGGTGTTTAGTACGTTTTCAAAAACGACAGGGTTGGTAGCAAACTTGAAGAAGTCTTCTATTTACTTTGGGGGGAGGGGGAGGGTAAACCAAAAGTTGCAGGAGATAATTTGTTGATTAACTCAGTTTTCAGTTGGCACCTTTCCTATGAAGTATCTAGGTGTCTCATTATCACCGAAAAAATGGTCAAAAGTTGAGTGTCAGGAGATAATAAACCGAATTGTGGGAAGAGTTAAATGCTGGAGCACTAGACATTTGTCTTATGCTGGGAGATTAGTATTGGTTAGTTCGATTTTAATGTCTATGCACACCTACTGGGCTGTTTACACAGGGGATGAAAATGGAAGTCCTTATAGTGACAAAGTTATGGATGAATAAATTTCAATTTTGAAATGAATAACGATAATCACAAAGATGAAAAACGATGCAAATCTTGATTATTAATGATCCCATCCTAGATGAATAACAATAGTAAAATGAAGAATAAATGTAGTTTTGCAAGATGAATAATTATAGTTTAATGACTGGATAAAATATCGCTAGTGGATGAATAACGCGCAACAGAATGAATAACTTTGATCAAGAAAACTAACAAGACTATATTTTACAATTAGTTAATGTCAGTAACTAAAACTTCTAATTATGTATTATACCATACCAAAATTGAACAAAAAAACTAGTCATTATTTTTAACATATAAGGTCTTGAAGGATTCGCCGGTACTCGATACGTTGATGTTGATTATTTGATTTCAGCAACTCTGCCAAATATTTGATTCTCAAACGATGGCAAAATGAGCATTTTTTTGCCTCGGATCAAACAAAAAAATATTATAATAAGTGAGATTTCACATTTAATCAAAACTCTGTTAATCATCAATAACAATGCTATTAAAGATGGATAATTATTTTGAAAATGATGAATAAACATTAAAACTACATAAATCTACGGTTACTAAGAATCGTGTATGGGCACATATTGCATGACGGATAACAACATCACTAATGATAAATGACATATCTTTGCATGATGAATGTACATCTCTCGGAGTTACTAACACATGTTCAAAGATGAATAACACAATTTTACAGGATTAATTACGCATATTTACAATTGTGTATAATCACATATTACATGATGAATAATAATCATTAAAATGAATGACATTTCTTTGCAGGATGAATGATATTTGCAATATGACTAACACATATTCAAAGGATGAACCACTCAAAATCACATGATGAATGATATACATTCACATGATTATATCAGATAACTCTATTGATGAATAACGGCACAGCAGAGGATGAATAACCATCATATTTGGATACACCTAATCCAGACCAAAATGCCTACAATGAACAGACTACTTAATGAATAAAGTCTTAATAGACGATGAACAATCATGACTAACATGATAAGTAATCATCAGATCTGCATAAACTCAATCCAAATCAAAATATCCACAGTGCATATGTTACATGATAAATAATAGATTCGCAGGGGTTGAATAATTACTTTTAATAGGATGAATAAATCAGAATATCATACATAATATCCATAAAATACAAATTATTTTTAATTATAATGATGAATAATCATTATTACAAGAGACTCAATGCCATAAATATTAGGCCTTGTCTGGATGACTTTTTAGTTTACCTTTTGTTTCATTTTACCTCTTAAACACAAAACCCAATGCAAAATAAAATACAATCCAAACATCAATTTAACTTACATTTTAAAAAATATTTTAAATACTATTTTTACATAATTTTTGTCAACCACCACCGGACCACCTCCACTTCTGGCCAACTCGTCAAAATTTGACTGAAATCCGGCCAGCAGGCCGGCGACGGCGATGTTGGCCCGGCGGTGGCGGCCAGTGGTAGAGGTGATCCGGTAGTGAGGAAAAAATTAGTGCCGATTGTCACTAAACTATTGTAAAATTTTTAGTTTGGTCACTGAACTATTTTAATTTCATAAATGGTCACTATACTATAATACTATCCAAATCAAAAACTAAACCACATTTTAAATCTGCTCCCAAATTCAAATAAAAAACTAAAACAAAACGTTGTCCAAACACCATCTTAGAATTTTTGACGATTTTCTTGCTCCAAATATATAGGCGACAGGCAACAGTGGTACTGAAATTTGTAAATCTGAATTTTCTTCTTTTACACAACAGATCTGAATTCATATACCTTTTGCGATTCACCAAATTTGAATTTTGTTCTTTTTCACGGAAGATCTGAATCCATAAATCTGTAACGATTCATCAAACGGGCTCGAAATGATAATTCTGAATGCCAAACAAAGGTTTCGAGAATTTCAAACAAAAATCACCATTTCGAATTGCAGATCTTCGACAATATTTGCTTCTCCGAGTTCTTCAACGGAGTTGCTTTCAGTATTTTAGTATTTTCGCGAAGAGATTCGATGCAAGATGAATATACGAAACAACGTGGAGAGATTTGATGCAAGATTTGGATTATTTTCTTGGATAATGACGAATTGAATGGTGGTTATGGAGTTTTGAAAATCGAATTAGCGAGAAAAATGGATGAAATGCGCTGAAACTGTTTAATGATTTTGCTATATATAAGGCGCATATTATACACATAAATGGTTTTTTCCTGAATATTTGGAAGTGCAGCATTTTTGTGCGCTTGAATGCTACCAATGTGTTCCTAGGTACTTAGAGAATGAGTGTTAGATTCAATTAAATGTTTTAAATTTCAGTGATAGTAGTGGAGGTATATTAAAGAATTTTTAGACAAAATCATTTTTAATGTCTGCAGTGGGACTGAATTTTGAAAAATCTTAAAAAAGAAAGCATTCCTATTGAATTAAAATGGGAGGAATATTGAGCTTGTATGGACAATGGTTTATTTTAGTTTTTGGTTTGAGTTTGAGATGTGATTTAAAATGTGGTTGGAGAGTAAATGTAAAAAATTATTTGGGTAGTATTTTAAATAAAATAATAATATTTTTACACCACCACCGGACCACCTTCACCATCGGCACCACCGTCGGACCGCCGCCGGTGGTGGAGGTGGTTCGGTGGTAGTGGACGAAAATTGTGTAAAAATAAATTTGAAATATTTTTTAGAAGGTAAATTAAAATGTTGTTTTGATAGTGAATTTTGTATTTAAGAGGGAAAATGGGGACAAAATAAAAAATAAGAGGTTGTCCAAGACCTTAATTTTTTTTTGGGGAAAAAAATTCCATATTGAGTTTAGTTAGTACAAATTTTCTAACTCGACTTTGCTTAAAATTCTACCAACGACATATCTTCCTGACATAACCATGACCACTCAGTTTCGAATTTTGCATCCGAAGAAAATCCAGTAAACATGGCCTCCGTAGCGAAACCGTCATTCCTTTCGCCTCCACTTAGTCTGATCAAGAATGCTGCTTCTTCAGCTCGGAGGGTTCATTCACTCAGCTTCTCTCCAGTCTTTACACCCAAGAAGCTCAAAGTCTCGTCATCCATTTCATCAGATGAGCCACAGCCTGACCCGGCTGAGGCTGACCCGGCAAAACTTGCGTTTGCCAAAGCCAAGGAATATAGAGAATCGATAAAATCCAAGCCAACGACTGAAATTTCAGCCAACCCAGTTGGCCAATCTGCTGGAATTGATCAAAATAATGAAGAATTCGAAGTATCAAAGCCGGAAGCTATAAGGTCAGAAGGGAATGATGATGGAGAAGAGAAGGTTCCCGTTGCTGTTAAGTTGGCATTTGAAAAATCGATGGATTATAAGAAGAGAAAAGGTGAGGTGGACGATGTTGAAGCTAACAGGGAGCTAGAGAGAAGGTCAGGTATGTTTCTGAGATGTTCTGAAAGCTTATAGTTTTGGGATTCTTGAATCGGTTTGTAGCTTTTATGGAGGTTCATGTTATTTCTGTATTAATCATGACACCATGTTAGGAAATCATCATGCTACATTTGATTGATTCAGAAAATGTGTGGTATCATCTTGCTGGACTTTTTATTTTCTGATTACTTGTTACTCTTGCTATTAATGACAGAATAAATAAAATGATGTATGATGCTGATGAACCTTGGAATAAGTAATGGTTAGAAGAATCGATTGTTTTGGTTTTTCCTCTGAGAAAGTTCTATCGTTGAAAATTCTTTGATAGGGGTGAAGAAAGACTTTGATAAAAAAGATCAGTTGAAGGTTTCGAATATTGATTTTTTGGGGCTTCAGTTTTCGGAGAAGAAAGACAGGGGGTTGCCTGCTGGCCTAGTTCCAGTTATAGACTCTTATCCTGAAGGTGACCTTCCGGAGGTGGAGATACTTGTTGGAGATGCAAGCAAGTTTGTTGATGGGGCTGCATCATCGAGTTCTGTTGAGGAAGAGAGTACGGATGTTTATAAGCCAAAGGTTTCCACTTGGGGAGTTTTTCCCAGGCCTAGCAATATTTCAAAAACGGTAAGTTGCCTTACAAATTTGATGGTCCATGACATTTATAGTTGTTTAATTTCTCATCAGCTTTCTTGAACGAAACATGATTTTGTTTTGATGGTAAGTCTGCTTTCTGTTTGGGCTTATGGGTACTTTTCCTAAATTTAGTTTGTCTTTTGTTAGTTAAGCCCTTATGTAAATGTCAGCAATGATATTATTGCAAACCTTGACTTGATAGTCATAAATTTGGTTCCCGTGTTAAAATTAGCTACCTTCTACGTGTGTATGTGTAATCTCTCTACAGATTTGGGAAAAGATACAATCAAGCTTTGTGACAGAATAAAATTAAAATCTATTACTTTTCTACATGAAGGATTGAAAAAGTAAGATGCACAGCTCTTGCTTTCTGGTTGTAAGGAAACTGTTGTTGGTACTTGTTTGCAGCTAAATGGTTTTAGGAATGATTATTTCTGCGTAATTATGAAGAGTGCCATGATATTTTCACCCTTGTAAGATGTATTGTCTTGTTCCCCACGTCGACGGATTCTAGATTGCGTCTTAATTTAGTATGCGGCTTTATTTATCTATTTTGGGTCCAGTATGGAGGTGGAAGAGTTATACGCCCTGGGGAGGTTCTGGAAACAGCTGAAGATCGGGCTGCAAAAGAGGCACGCACAAGACAGCTACTTTCTGCGTATAAGAGTAAAATTGGCTTGAATATTCGTCCTGAGCTAAAATCTGAATGTCAGAAGGTTAGTTTCATCTGCACTTTATCGTTATTATGGAGCTATGGCTACCAATTTGAACAGATTCCATGTTATTGCAGCAGAATGTTATTTGTGGTTTTCTTAAATAGTGATACTCTGGGACGTAGTCAATGGCCTGATACATGAACCTCGTAGTATCTATGATGTGGTACCATCAGTCACTAAGATGTCGAATCTTGCTTTGGTGCTAGTAGTGAAGGATATGATTTTCCAACCTGGGTGATCTCTGTATCCTCATGATGTTAATCATGTGCTTGAAATGATCGGGAATATTTTCTCTGTCCGAGGAAGGCCTATATGAGTTCCAACCAATCTGTCAAATATGATATATTTGAGAGTTAGAATGAAAAATAATGCCTTACCAACGCTTTCTCGCCTGAAATTCTCTCTTATTAAGATTGAGTAGCAAAATGTGGGTTTTGAAATCTTATAGTTCTTTTACTGACGTGTTAGTGATGTTTACTAAAGAAATAGAGATAATTCCTTTATGTTCTCCTTCCTCTTTGGTTTGGAATCCCTTTGTTATATAATCTGCGGAAATCTGAAGAAACCGTATAAATTAGTTTCTCACATGACATTTTGGTTCAGACCTAAAAATTCAATTATGAAACGAATCATTTAATTGCTTTTACCTCCAATATTTGGGTCCTTAAGCTTTTATGTTATTTTCCCCCATACCATAAATGCTTAATTGATTAACAGAATTATAATACAGAGGTTTCTTCATAATTTTAGTGCTATCATATTAGGCATTAAATGATGGAGATTCCTTGATGGATCTTGGAAAACTTGAAGCAGCATTACCTTTCTATGAGAAGGTCATGGATAAGTTGCCTTTCCAGGTACTTCTCGACATCGGTTTATTTTCTGATATAGCATATGCACCTGCTGATGTTTAGCTGATAAGCCTCTTTCTCAAAATGATGTTCTCAAAGTGGCATTCAGAATTTCTATGGTATGAAATCAAGCACCTCTAGGCTGAATTTATTTAGGACAGTAATAAGGTAACAGCAGTTTCAGATTTCTGTGCTGAAAAAGGATGGGATCGTTGGTATTGAATGGAGTCAAAACAATCTGGTTAACAGTAAAACTCAATGCCTGCCCTGCAAAGAAGTTAAAGGCATGGGCTAATCATTTTGAACTTGCCTCCTATTAAAGAACTTTTATGTTGTGCTTGACAGGTAATGAGGGAAATTTTTTTCTGATGTAAAGTTCATCTGGATAGTTTGAATTGTAGAGTAGTTAGTTATGACCTTATGCATATCAAAATAAAATTTATACTGTACAAACTTCGCAGTTTCGATCTTCTTCCTGACCTTTTTCCCATTAAACTATTAGTTATTCTTAGTTTCTGGATTTCGATTTTACTTTTTATTTAATCTTTTGCTCTCGCTTGACATTTTTATTCTGCTACTTGTGATTCATCATGTTCCACCATACTCTGCGTATAAGCATATTGGAGCAGTATGATTATGTGTAATTGACCTATCAATGTGTAATCGGTGGCCAGTTCGAGCATCCTAAACTGTAGATAGACCAATTTCTACTTAGATAGATGAAAGGTTGCTAAACCCTTTTTCTTAGTTCAGGATACAAAGTTTCCTTCCTCCACTGATACTATCTGTGTTGCATTCTTTTGTAGACCCAGCTTCATGGTTTGGCAGCTTTGCAATGGACAATTTGTCAAGACTCACTGAATAGGTATACACCAATTCCTTCTCCTTTAATTGTTTAGTGCGTCGAATTTGGTTGATGTACTTCTTCATCGTTTGGTTCTTGATTATCATACTTCTATGGTCAGTGAACATTCAAAGGTGCACTCTTAATGACCTTTTTTACCTTTTTTGGGTTGGGGGTAGGGGATTTCAAGAAAACTACTAAGTAGTATCTTGCGAATGGAAAAATAGAGAAGTACCTTAAACATCTATATCATCCATCTAAAGCAATAGTCCTCTGTCCCTTTTTTCCTTCCCGGCCTTATGTTGTAGAGAAACTACGAAATTTATTTCCGAGAAGAAAATTAATCCAGGAAAAGGAAGAATGTTTCCATTCTATAAATGGAACTGCGATTATAACCAAGATCTAATGTGATTACCAAGAAAGGTTTGTACTTTTGCCTAAAGATAAGAAGGGGAAATGAAACTTAACCGTTGGTGTACCATGTCAGTTAAGCAGTACTCAATGCGAGCACCAGATATTCTGATGGTTTGGAATTCGAATTAAAGTTACCTGATTGACTGGTAGGAATGATTGATCTAGTGGTTCTATTCTACTAAACTACAAAGATAAGGAAATTACAGTAATGAAGCCAATACTTAAAATGTGTGAGATATTCTATTGTAATAAGTTGGTTAAAATATCCTTTTCTATATTAGGGCACCTGTTTATTTTATTTTTTATATTGAGGTCAAATTGTCTATCTAGTGTGGGTCGGACATACTAATTTATTGAAAGTGTAACCAAGACCACGGAACATTTTTACAAACCAGCATTTAATCAGATTGTGAGGTATTAATATTTTCCCTTTTTGGTTGTTTAAGATTCAATTATTGTAACCATCCTAGAGTAACCTGAATTTCATTTACATCCCAGACATGGCCATATTCTGAAGTCCTATTTGTAGGTAAGATAGGAAACCATTTGAACAAATTCTTTGGTTATGCTTGAAAACTAAAAACACACAATATAAATAAGCTCATACCAGATACAGTTGGCACAATATTCTTTAAATCCAAATTCTACTTCTAATTATTTAGGTGTATGTTGCATGATTCATGTATGATTCAAATCATTAGAGAAGATGCTGGATTTATAAATCAACAGACAAGGGTTTGAGAATTTAATTCTCTTCATAGATTTTAAAATCTTCAAGCCCTTTGATCTGACTTGTCCTCTCTACAAGTATAAATCACAAGAAAACACATCGTTCCCCTGTTTTGCCAAGCCTGATTCTGTTGAAATTGGATCAAGTAGCTCAACATTTTGTCTCGTTAATTAGGCTCGCTTACCCAACTAGCCTACTTGACGCGCCAACCTTCTGTTTGCTCTATTTGTACATTTTTTATTTTTTCATCCCAAAAAGCACATGGAAGCATCCTAATACTTACAACGTTAACCTTCCAAACCATCCTAAAACTGTCAATAGAACAAGCCTTCAAAGGAAAGCAAAAACGAAAAAAGGCAGCTGTCTGTTGCTTGTGGGTTTATTCAGCAATTTGATTTAAATGAATGGAAACAAAACCTAGTCACGGAAGGGATTAAAAGCTGGAAACTGGAAGAACAGCAAAAGTAAAAGTAGGCGAAGAATGACTCAAGTTCTGTTTTATCTCCAAGGGCACTTGGTGTGATTAGATTGGCTTGGCCACTTGGGGCTCATCATCATCATCATCATCATCATCATCATCATCATCATCATCATCATCATCATCATCATCATCATTATTATTATTATTATTGGTCTTTTGGAACCCAATATGCTCATGTTTATTCTGCCAAACAGCATATATGACTTTTGTTTGATGTGATGGAGAGTCATTAATACTTTTCATCATCGTCTATGACGAGAAAACTTTATGGATAGTGCACATAATATTCTACAAGACTTCTTGGAACCATTCTCAAACTTGATTTACTTCTATTACATAGTGTTGATTGGTTGCAGACATTGGCCTCTGGACCAATGAAGCTAGAAGCATGTATGATGTAAAGATTCATTAAAGATTACCTTCTTCCCGGAAAACATTATGGATAGTGCACATATTGATATCTTCTTGCTATTCAGCATTGTTTAATCTATAGGACTTATTGGAACTGTTCTTGGACTTCGATTTACCTCTGGTTACATTGTTTTGATTGCTCATAGATATTGGTCTCAGGCCTAATGAAGCTAGAAGCATGTATGAGAAACTTCAGAGTCATCCCAACCCTCAAGTGAGCAAGAAAGCAAGGCAATTTTTATATGGCTTTCAGGTAAAAGAAGCAAGATTGATCTCTCCATCCCTGACTGTTGACAACCCCATCATATTATAATGAGCTTTTTCTTTGAAATTCTTTTCTGTCGTCATTATTGAAAGGGATTTTAATGGATCTTTTGAATGTTATCATTGCAGGCCATGCAAATGATGAAGGTTAACTCTTCAACAGTTCCGCCTAAAAATACAGGGTATCAAAATTATTTCGATGCGTTTGTAAGAGGTAATTCTAATTACGCTATTACAGAGGCTGAAGTTGATGAAGGTCCATTGGAGCAAGCCCTGCCATATGTAATTATTCTTCTTGCTCCCATCATATCAGTCATTCTTATTGTTGTTCTTAACTGAAGATCATAGTTGTTACGTGTAAGCTTCATGTTTGAATGTGAAGTTCCAGCAGTGCTTAATTTAGTAAAAATCCTGTAACTACAGCGAATATATTAGTTTGTATATAGAGAGAGTAGTGCTAATTCCTACCATGGATGTCAAAATCATTGGATTGCCCAATTTATGTTGTCCATGTACAAAAGTGAACTGAATCAAATGAGATTCTATTCCTAGTTTTTGGTTAATTTTACAAGGATTCGCTAATTATGGCTATCAAACTGATGATCATGATAGTGACCCTCAGTCTGCGTATATTATGGTGCTTTTAATTGGATATGTTCAAGTCAAGGCACTAGATTTTGCTTTGGAAGTCGATGTATCCTTCGGAAGTTACTAAATGGTTGTTTGGATCAAGAATATTATCTAGATTAACTACACATTTTTTTTTAACTTATATTCTTCCAAAAATGTGAACTCTACAAGTTGAGCAGAGATTGGTATTGAGCCAAGCAAAAAACACGTGGGAATAATCTTCGGCTAGAAAATGAACCATAATTGCACTTATACTTTTGCACTTTATTTTGCAGAGATTCTTTAGGAGTTTGAGAGTTAGTGAGATCTGACCTAAAAAACAAGCAACATAATTATTCCTGTTCATAAATTACAACTCCCTCTGTCCCACAAAAATAGTCTACATTAAATTTTGAGTTTTGTACCGTTTTTAATACAAATTTGAAAACTCAATGTGGCCTATTTTTGTGGGACGGAGGTAGTACTTTTTAGAACCTTGCATGATCAAAAACTCAAAAGTCCTGTTAAATAGTAATGTACATTAAAAACTGGATAAGCGCTGTATGCGAATGTTCTTTTCTTTCAATATTTTTGAAAAGTAAGAAACTTGATAAATGTAATGAATTATAATCCAGCTCAATTAGGACATGGGGTTTTAAGATAGGAATGTAGAACCCTGTACTTTACTTTGACCCAAAGCTTTAGTTCATTCTTGAAAGACAACCATCAGTTCTATTAAAATCAGCCTGCAGAACAGAGTTTATGGCAGCTCTGAAAATGGAAGACAAATCATGGGTGATAAAAGTGAATGAAGACGTAAGCAAACTTTCAGAAATCACAGGAGCTGAGAAAAGGAATTGGGAGCTGCACTCAATCTACAAGCTTCCTGCCTGTGTAACTGATCTGAACAAGAATGCCTACAAGCCTCGGGCGATTTCATTCGGTCCGTATCACTATGGTGATCCGAAACTATATCCCATGGAGGCACACAAGCACAGAGCCCTGCTTCATTTCCTCAAGAAATCAAGAAAACCTCTGGATTTCTACGTCTGCGAGTTGAATTCTGTGGTCAGGTATTTGAAGGATGCGTACGACTCGCTGGATGATAAATGGGAACATGACTCGGAAGCATTCGTGCAGCTTATGATAAGGGATGGTTGTTTTATGCTTGAAGTTTTGCGGGCGTGTTCGCCAAACGATTCTGATGGTCAAGCAACAAGAGCAGAGGATGAAGGTTATGCCGAAAATGATCCCATTTTTAGCAATCATGGGAAGCTGTATATGATGCCTTACATCAAGCGTGATATGCTAATGCTTGAAAATCAGTTGCCAATGCTGCTTCTCAACAAGTTGCTATCTCCTGATGAACAAGCTATGGTAAGTTCTAAACAGAACGTTTATGCCTTTTAAATTCTTAACATTCGATATTAGCACACAATGTGTGGTTGATTATAGCTTTTTTGATTTCATGTCAACAGTTTTTTTCATCAAATTTTGGAAATCTTCGTTCATAATAGTTTGGCAGATATGCATCATTTTCAGAATGATGAAGATGAATACATAAACAGACTCATACTCCAGTTCAGCTTTCCAAGCACCCCTCACAAAAGGTTGGGAAGATGCAAGCATGTATTAGATGCGTATCGAAAAAGCTTGCTATGGGAGGACCCTGACATCCCGAAATTCGAAACAAGACCTTACATAGGATTCTCCGTAGGAGGTGATGACATAGTTCCATCAGCAGCACAGCTTCATGAAGCCGGAATCGTTATCCAGAGGAACACAACCGGAAGCCTAACTGACATCTCATTCAGTCATGGCATCCTCAGGCTGCCACAAATTGTAGTCGACGACACCTCTGAACCCGTCTTCCTAAACCTAATCGCCTTCGAGAGGTTTCACGTGGACGCAGGGAACGAGGTGACGTCCTACATCTCGTTCATGGACGACATCATTGACAATGCAAAGGATGTGAGCCTCTTGCATTCTCGAGAAATCATTCACAATGCAATTGGGAGTGATAAAGCTGTGGCTCAGTTGTTCAACTCACTGTCCAAGGATATAACGCTGGATCCCGAGAGTCACCTCATTGTTGTCAGAAAGAGGGCTAATCAGTACAGCAAGAGGCACTGGAATCAATGGCGAGCCAATCTTATTCATAACTATTTCACCAGTCCATGGGCTATTTTATCTGTTATTGCAGCTATTTTCCTCTTTGGCCTCACCATCGTACAAACTGTTTACACCATTGGCCAATACTATCAAAGTTGATTGATTGAGCTGTTATTTTATAGAGTGGTAGTGGTATTGTGTTTTGTTTGCAGCTTTCCATACATTTTTCTTATTTTCTTATTTTTTATCATTATTTTCTATATATTTTTTTTTATGAAGGTTGATATTTTTATGATGGATGATTTGTTCTTACTGAAGAAATCAATGTAAAGGAGGTTTGGTTGTAAATGGATGGATGATTTTTAGGAATGAATTGTTGTTTTAATTCACGTGACAGTCTTATGCACTTTTATAATCATGCCTAATGTCATATATAATACTAGATGTTTAGTCTGTCCGAGTGTCCCTCTATTTTAATTTTGTGTTAATAGATAAATGAATTCTTGATTTGGAAAAAATAAAATAGCTACATATTTGGTTTTTTTCCCCCTTTTTTAGCCAAAAATAAAAATAAAAATAAAAAATCATCTGCCAAAGGAGAAATAATATTGAAAAGTACAACGATGCAAAAATCATACAAAAGAATGTGGAGTAATAAAGGGGATAAGTTTATGGGCAAATTTAATTGCTATTTTAATTTGATTGATAAATGATAAATGTTAGGAGTTAAAATTGTGTAGCTATTTTTGTAAAGTAGCTTTTGTTTCTCCGGATAATTTTTTTTTCTTTTAAAAAGAGATGACACGTGGCAGAATGGTTAATGCAATATGGTGCATTTGAAGCCAAAAATTTTTAATAAGAAGTTGCCACATCAACATTCTGTATTCTGCTTTAACAGGGTAAAACAAATATCTGATATATCTCAAATAAAAACTGAAAAGCAACGTTTCTTATTTGTATCTTTTGATGTTCACATGATTTTTATAAGAGGGGAGGATTGGAAAAATAGGTTTTGTTGGCTTTAAAATTTTATTTTTATTAGAAAAAAAATTAAATGAAATTTAGGATAAATCAAAATGACTATTAATAGGGACCGGTGGAAGTACTCAGTAATTTTACCAACAAACTGAAACTTAGAAAACTGTTTGATGGGAAAAAAAAAAGGAAGAAGAAAAATTAAGAAGCTCATAGGAGTTTTTGAATTGTTGAAAAAATTTGAACGCTTTATGCTATTTAAATGGAAGCTCCATTTTGGGTTAACCTGCCCTAATTGAGGGAAGATGTTGGTTATATTCTCGAACGGGAAGGGTAGGTTATAAGACTATCAAAATAACTTGATTTTATAATAGAAAGGGAAAATTTCATTTTACATACTCTTAGAATAGGATTAACAGTAAATTTAGATAGTATCCCTAACTTTGTACTTCTTATCGTGCTGGGTGGATACCTAACAACTTAATGAAATTCATTTCTTCAAAAAAAAAAAAAAAAAAGGAGGTCTCCGCATTTTGTATCCTAAGAATTAGTCTTCTTAAATTATATCTTTTATGTTTGAATTTATTATTTGTAATTACCTTTTCAAGGACAAAATGAGAAATTAACAATATATTATCTCAAATTGATACTCCATATGTCTCAAAATTATTGTACATTTTAAATTTTTGGGACAGAGAAAATATGTCTTTGCCCCCAAACGTGTTGAAAAGAGTAAATTGCACTTTTCCTTGTAATGATTTTGCAAAACTTTTACGTACATTTGGATCAAATTTGAGCAAATTGCACATTGACTTTCGGTTAAATTTCTCATGGCTTCTAGTTTTAATTTTTTTTAATGTACATATTTTTCTTTGTTCTTAGTTTTATTTATATTTTTATTTTTCGTTTTTATATTATTATTTTAAAAATATTTTTTTTGTACAAGTTCTTGGCACTTTTATGTATTTTTAGTAATACATTTTTTTTCTTTTAGATTTTGTTTTCATTCACTTAAAATATAAATACAACTTATAAGAAGAAATATTTAGATCAAAGAAGAAAAATGTTTTTGAAAGACTAAAAACTAGAAGTCAAGGGGAATTTTTGACGAAAGTCAAGATCAATTTACTAAAAATTTGAACCAAAGAAGAATTTTATAAAATTAATAAAATTTAAGGTACACTTTACTCTTTTTCAAAATGTCCAGAGAGAATTGTAATAGTTTGGGACAAAATTTTGTTAATTTCTCATTTTAGTTTCAAGTACTTACAAACAAAAAATTCAAACATGAGGAATATGATTTGAGAAACTCAATTATTAAGGGAATATAAAATGGAACTTACTCCCTCCATTCCAAAATAATTGTCGTTTTGGCAAAATGGAGAAATTTCAAAATAAGTGTCGTTTTCAGATTCCAATGCATTTTTTGTCAAAAATTTCCAAACATACCCTCAAAAGAAATAATATTATTGGTGAACATTAATTTTAATAGGATTAATTGAGGATATTCTAGTAATTTAGTTACCTTATTTAATGTTTTCTTAAACTATGTGTAAAATCTAGAATGACACTTATTTTGGAACGGAAGGAGTACCATTTTAGAAATTAGATGGCCTAAAATTTCATTCTATTAGGCTATTAGTGCAAAACTAGAATAATCGTAATGGTATTTAGAATATGAAATGATTGAAGAGCCAAGAATTTTGAAGCAAAAACAATTGTGCATTAAAAATTTTAGTTCAGAAAAAGCACAATGGCAGTAACTGGCTTTGAAATGTGTAACAATTACCTGTCAATCAATGTTTTCCATCGCGTATCATTTAAAAGAAAGCACGCGTATATTCTGCAGTTACTTCTCTTTCTTCCTCAAAAAGTCAGAAAATGTGGGATTAGGCACTTGCTTTAATGCAGCCGGAATAGATTAAAATGGTCAGGATAGATAAAGTATTCATTTATTGTATATTGTACTCCCTTCATTCCAAAATAAGTGTCATTTTAGCAAAATAGAGAAATATTAAAATAAGTATCGTTTTCGGATTTCAATGTATTTTTTGTCAAAAATTTCCGAACATACCCTCAAAAGAAATAATATTATTAGTGAACATTTATTTTAATGGGGTTAATTGAGGATATTTTAGTAATTTAGCTATCCTATTTAAGTGTTTCTTAAACTGTGTGCAAACTCTAGAATGACACTTATTTTGGAATGGGGGGAGTATAATGTACTCCCTCCGTCTCATAATTATTGTCCACTTTGCCTAAAAAATTTTGTCCCAAAATTATTGTCCAATTTGACTTTTTATGGATCAAGTTACACATTTGTCTTTAGTAAAAAATATTATCCATAAAATCTTTGTGGTTAAACAATTACTTATGTAGGGGTATATCCGGTTGTTCAAGGTAAAATATAGTTAAGTTTGACTAAAAATAAAATTTTTCATTTTAGTAAAACTGGACAATAATTATGGGCCGGAGAGAGTATTATTTTTTCCCCTTCTTGTCTCTGTCTATAAATATAAACGAGGTGTTTCATTTTTTTTACATAACTTTTCTATTCATCATCTTCTAAAATTAATATGTTATTGCCCATTATTTCTCATCTTATGGATAAAAATAATATTCTAGAAATTCTTACTCTACCAAATTATCAAAATTACAATTCCGCAAAATGTCCGTACTTCACTCAATTTTCAGATTCTTCATAATTTTCAAAATTCAACCACTTTTCTAAATGAAACACCAAATTAGACAATCCTCTCAATGTTCTAAAAAAATAAAAACTAAAGAGAAAGACAAAAACGCCCCGGGATTATGGGCCAAAATGGTCCCTGTCTTTTACCACATTTTTATTAATTGGCATTGGGCAGAAAAACCTTTCTACTTGGAACTGTCCGATAGACTGAGCTGGAGAGACCTGAAACCACATTTTACATGGGTGCATTGAGGATGCTCTTAACAAGGTTGTCGACTCATTAACAAAAATTGATTTTTCATTACTTATTAGGTTTTCTCCCGTGCGTCGCACGAAATATGTTAAAATGTATTATTAAGTCGATTATTAATTATCAAAAAAATATCACGCACTGGATTAATTGTTGATTGTGAAATAGAATCTTAAAAAAATGAGTGAAAGAAAAAATAATTCAACAGTAAAAAAATGAGTTAAAAAAAAACATGGGATGAAAACTAAGCAGTATTAATATTATTATAATTTAGAATTAACTTAAGTTTGAATCTAAGAATAATGTTTTACCTGAATTTTTCTTGTAACTTTACCAGTGAAACTTTAATATTTTTTAATGAGATTATCATTAGAGTGGTTGAGTTAGAATGTAGAAAAAAAAATGCTTCATTTGGATTTTTTGCATAACTATCTTGTGAAATTTTAATTTTTTTTTACCATCAATGACATCGTTTTTCTTTTGGCAAGAAAATATTGATTAGAGCTCAACTCATAATTAAAATTTAACACAATAGAATGAGCTAATTTTATTATGCATTTTTGCTCTCTTGGATCAAAGTGTTAACATTTAATCAACAATTGACAATAGAAATTGTAGATGACCAATTTTAAAATCAATAATAAATTATCTTAAGGAAGATGAGTGCTTCTACAGATAAAAATCTTATCACGATACAAAAGAATTTACGATCAAAAAGAGAAGAAGAAAAGAAGGAACAAATTGAATCTTGAGTTTTGATTGCAGCATAAATTTTTGACTTTTTTTCATGGAATTTGTTTATTTTCTATTTTAGTAGAGAAGAGGCTATATTTGTATTAGGATTGAATAATTAATGTAAATTAGGATTTAGGATAGAAGACCGTCAACCTCAATCCCCTTCATGAAGGGATTAGTTGCATTTTAAAATGATTTTACCCCTTTCATATAGTGATTTTATCCTTAAATAATATACTCCCTCCATTCCGATTCAATAGGCTCACTTCCCTTTTTGGGACGTTTCAAAACTTAGTCCCACTTCAGATAATTAATTAAGTTTCATTATATACTCTCTAATATACCCTTTCTACTTTCACTGAAATAAAAAAAATATTTATTAATTTTAACAATTACTCTCTCAGATCAACTAATAACTCACTAGTCATTAATAGGGGTGTAGTAGGAATTTCATTTAAAATTAACCACATAAACTACATTACCCATTTTTTCTTAATCTCTGTTTATGTCTAAATGGGCCTATTGAATTGGAATGGAGGGACTAATATATTATCTTTTTAATTTTAAAAGCATTAATTAACTTAGTTATTGGAAAATAAGATATAATTATTACTTTGAAGAAAATTTTTCTTACGATGTTCTATTATCACGACATGTGATTTTTTAGGATTTCTAATTAAGCTATATCATTATATGTGTCCT